CTGCCTTTGCCGCTCCATCGGGCCCCCCGCTTGTTACTCCACTGCCGCGGTCGGGGCCCGTCCTTCCTTCCTGGGCCCCCCCAAGTGGTGGAACGACCGCTGCGACCCTGGTAGTTCCTCCACTGAGTCACCAGCCTAGTATGATGATAGCTTTCAAAGCCCAGGCAAAGAAAAGTCAGAAGGAACCTCTTATATTTCCTGTGTTTGCTTCTTTATTTTCAGTGCCCACCTGGGTATTTATGAGGTTCTGTGGTAACTCAGAGCAATGTCCAGAAGTCGTCACACTGAGGACCCCATACAGCAGAATGGTGACCAGCAACAAGTGCTGCATGGGTGACAACTGCACACCTTCAAGACCCCCAGGTGAGGTTCTGCTGATGACCAGCCCTAGTAAATAGAACTTGTTAACTGATATTCCACAATGTAAGCAGTTGGTCAAAGCTGGTTAATTGAATAAAGTTGACATTATGCACTCTTCCGGACTAAAAGGGTCCTGGTATACCCCCAGAGTCCCACAGTACAATGTAAGCACCTGCTTGGCTGTATATATGCTTAGGCACTGGGGACTTGTCGCAGCTGATCTGGAACAGTTATTTAAGCAAGGTATCCTAAAAGTCTTCTTCTACCTTGGTCCTCAATGTTGCTATCCCCGCACAAACTGCCCATCCCTGACCTTGGTGTGTCCTGGAGTAAAGGGGGCTCCTAATCTGAATGGGGGCTCCTGATGTAAAAATGGGGGACTCAGGTGAAGGGGGTACCTGATGTGAAAGGAGGGGACTTTGAGGCAAAGGGAGCTCCTGATGTAGAAGGAGGGGGCTTTGAGGTGAGGGGAGCTATTGGTGCGAAAGGAGGGGACTCTGAGGTGAAGGGGGTTCCTGATGTGAAAGGAGGGGACTCTGAGGTAGAGGGTGTCCTGCCCCCCCCCTCCCCCCCCCGCAGTAAAAAAAATATTGTGACATCATCAGGCAACGTAGATGTCCTTCAGCCCATTAAATACAGTTCTCTTCTAAGTCTTCAAGAACTGGAACTGCTTTGTATGCATGAATGGGCCATAAACTTCCCATACACCAAGCAGCCACAGAAAACCAGGGTAAGACTTCTTCACAGTCCACATTAGCTGTGGGTGGCACCCATCTGGTCGCTGATAACACGTTCATATGTTAATAATAGTGTCCATACTTCCACCTACCTGCCAGGGTAATCTACCTGGGTTCTCAGTTTTGATGTCCCCGCATATCCTCCCCACCCTTGACCTTGAGGTGTCTTCTTTGACTATGACTACCAGTCTCGCTAGTTTGATAGTAAACCTCTCCAGATGACTTTGGGAACAAACCAGTTTATCTGGGGAAGGGGGGCTGTACGCATAAATCCAGCCCAGCAGAAAGACTTGGGTTGATGTTACTACGAGAAAAGGAGGTGAATGTATCACTAAAATCCCATTCATGGAAGGTTCAGATTATGTTCTTCATGCCACAAATACCCAACTGAACAAGAACTTGTCTGCATAGGAATATGGCAACTGGGACTCCATGACACGTCTCAGGGTCATCATCTTGATCTGGTTTTGGATTTAGGTCTAAGGATAAAGAAGACAGCCAAGGAACATGTACCTTGGAAACAGTCAACAATAGAAGCTCCCATCATGTTATCCTTCTAATCTCGCCATTCACACATCGATTTTACACCATTGTTTTTGGGGTTCCATTCTCTATAGTTTAGGGGCATCTCCTTGTGATTTCCAGTGTGGTTGCCCTCTGTTTTCTTTCACATTTATTCAAACTATGTCAATGCATACAAATGTTTTCTGTTTGACCAAAGAGGGGTTTGACCTTCTTTATAGAAAAGGGTCTTCATTTTTGTGAGTGACGTTTTCATTTCGAGGGATGTGTAATACAGAAGTTCTAGCACAGCACTGTGCTGGAACTCCTGTAACAGCTGAGAGGGGAAGGCTGAGAGTGCAGCTCTCCCCTCTCACATGGAGCAGAGCGGAGAACAGACATTCTGTTCTCACTCAGTAACATTTTAGTAAAATTCATGTGATCGGTTTTTATTTCTCCTTTTTGTCTTTTCCCTGTCAGTGATCGCTGAGGAGGCAAAGAATGGTCTGATCTGTAAGGGATGTTTCAACGCTACGTCAGACACATGCCAAGAACACAAGTCTGTAGAATGCCGCGGCACCGAGCGCCAGTGCTTCACCTACTACAACCGATACCTGGAGGGCAATAGTAAGTGCAAGGGTGGGAGGGGTTATGATAAAACAGACTACACAGTGCCTCTGACAAATATGTCATAGGACCTATTTATATTAAAGGAGAACTATGGGGTGAGTGATTTTCACTCACCTCATAGTTCTAGCCGACCTGTGACAATGAGACTGTCACAGGTCGGCTCAGTAGATCGGGAGGTGAGCGAACACATACCGGCGTTCGCTCACTTCTCGATCCTGTCACGGCTCTCTGCCGTGACAGGGGGAGGGGCTGGATTCCCCCCTCCCCGCTCCGATCCTCCAGCGCTGACTGGCGGAACGGACGGGGGAGGGGGCGGGTACAGCTGGCTCTGCCTCTAGATAGGCGGAGCCAGCTGTCACTCACGCAGCTGGGCGGATCCCGTCATCTACGTCGGGATCCACTCCGGCTGCGGCGTCTCAGTATACCGCGAGCTGTATGTTCAGTTCGTATTCGAACACAAACTCGAACTCAATGCACGTGTATGGGGGTCGAATGTTCGACCCCCATACAGCTGCCAGGACATATAGGAAAACTGTGACTGCAGCGGCCTTTGTCCCTTCAAATCCCCGCTGCTCTCCGCGCCTGTGTTGGCGGAGGCAGCGGGGACACAGACCGCTGCATGCCTTCGCTGCCCCCCTTACCTCTGCTGCTGTCCCGGCCTCCGATCCCCTGGTCCGTTGATGGTCCGGTCCAGCCGCGGCTCCTCTGCCCGCCCCCCTGCCTCCTCTTCATTGCAGGCTGGGAGCCATACCCAGCCTGCTATTGGATATTGTAAAATGCAATAGCTAATAGCAAGCTGGCTATTGCATTCGCCCACTGCCTGCTGTCAATCAGCATGGGGGGACCTGATAGAGAACTTTCTCCTTCAGGCCCCTCCTCCGCTGAGCCCCGATTGGGCAAAGACTTTAACAAATCAGAGCTTCAGTGGGCATTTTGAATTATGGAATGTCTGCGGTCGAACAAACTGCAAACATCCCATAAAGTTCGGCGTTTGACGAGCGCTCCAACTGCCAATGTTCGAATCGAACACTCGGCCCATCACTTTTGCACTTGGTGATGTAAGGCTTGGATGCAGCTGCTCGGCCATGGAAACCCATTCCATGAAGCTCTCTACGCACTGTTGTTGTGCCAATCTGAAGGCCACACGAAGTTTGGAGGTCTGTAGCTATTGACTCTGCAGGCAGTTGGCGACTTCTGCACACTGTGCGCTTCAGCATGCACTGACCCCGCTCTGTCATGTTACGTGGCCGACTACTTCCTGGCTGAGTTGCTGTTGTTCCCAGTTGCTTCCACTTTGTTATAATACCACTAACAGGTGACCACGGAATATTTAGTAGCCAGGAAATGTCACGGAACACCTGAACCCAATGATTTGGAGGGGGAGGGGCCCAATACTTTTGTTAATATAGTGTATAAAGCAATTCCAATGTATCTTGTAACCCTGGTGAAGGGGGAGCGTGTTTTGCCCCCGAAACATGTTATCTTTTTTTTCTGTTATGAAGCATTAAAGCTGTTTTAGACTCCTTTATGAATTTGGACTGGAGCTCCTTTTCTGTTTTGACCCTGAAAATTTTATTTCGAGTGGCACCATGCTTTTTTTTTTAAGGAATAGAAAAAACATTCCCTTGCTGTGGGGCTACTCCATCACTGCAAGGATTAGGTGCTCATTTTGTCTAGGGGGCTCAAATAAAGCAGATGTACTCTCCTGATTGTCGGTCACACTGGGCTGCTAGACCTGTCCCCATATCCAGGGGTATCCCGAGCCTTTTCGCCACCAGAGGCACCAGCCAGAGCCTCCCGCTCAGCTTCTGGCCACCAGTGACATCACTGGTTGCCAGGAGCTGGGTGGGACGCCGGCCAGAGCGACCCAGGCTGCTATAAGCTGGGCAGGGAGATGCGTATGACCCTTACATATCTCCCCGCCCGGCTCTTAGCAACCTGGGACGCTCTGGCCGGGAAGTGGGTGGCAGGCACATTGCAAACAATGTGCAGCCATGCCACTCTGCCCGCTTCCCCCACCACGTGAACCAAGGTGATTCCACCTGAGGCAACAGCCTCAGGCCGCCTCAATTTAGGGATGGCCCTGCCCACAGCCTCCTCTCCCCCAGGCTCTGGTGGTCTAAGGACCGATGACATCATCACATCTAATGTAGGTCCATTGACTCGCATTAGAAGTGAGGACACTCATTTCCATATCATTCCATATCCAGAGTGGAGAGGGGAAAAGGTGAGCGCTGATCAGTCCCAAGTATCAGGTGAGTATATCTGCTTTAATTGAGACAAAACGAGCACATAACCCTTGCAGAGTCGGGGGTAGGCCCACTGCAAGGGAAAGCTTTTTTACATTCCGGGAGCTCTTCTTTTAGGCACTGCAGTGCTTCCAGGCCAAAAGCCATTTGGAGTGTACTGCATTCCATTCCAGGTGCCTGAAAACTACTGGTTAAGCCACAATGTGAATAAGCCCCACTTAAAAGGGACTGATTTATAAATCTTCCACCCAGTGTATGGCTGGGTGAATGCCGTTCGCACATCGCTTTATCACCACTAGATGGCGACGAGGAGCAGGATTTCCTATGCTCCCCAGCTCCATCTAGTGGTGAACGGCATTCACACAGCTATACACTGGGCGGAAGATTTATAATTCAGACCTATTATAACACACCGGGCAGGAGAGGGCGTGGCGGGCCATTGAAGTGAATGGCGCCGTAGCCACGCCCTGCGGCCGCAATGCGATCGCCCGCACGGGATCGCATTGCACATTCTGCCTGCGGTCCGGTGCGGTCAAAATAGTGCTCGCAGCATTTTGAACGCACAGGTCTGGACCGCAGGCACAATGTGCTCTGCGATCCCGTGCGGGCGATCGCATTGCGGCCGCTACAGCGCCATTCACTTCAATGACCCGCCACGCCCCCTCCGGCCGCAATGCGATGCAGGGCGTTCCGCCCGGAACGCACTGCATATGGTGTGAACAGACCTTAAAGGTGTTAAAATTTATCAAATTCCAGCTGAATGGTGTCCGCGTTACTACAGCAAAAGCTGAATCGATACAATGTCTCTCCACAGGATCCATCGCTATGGAGGGATGTGCGACAAAGACGGCCTGTGCCCTGGACCTCAACAATGATGGTAAAGAGACGATGTGCTACGGGGAAAGTTACGCCAATCGCAGTCCCCAGATTGCTTCCTCGCTGTCCTTCGCCGCCTTCTTCATTGTTCTGTATCTGTGCTGAGCTCCTTATAGCGCTCTGTCCGCCATGTTATTATAATTACCTCTGTGCTCACCTCCACGTACACATCAGGCAGAAATCCTCAGATAAAGAAATGTCTCAGGCCTGGATTCAGCCACATTCATTGGCCGGGCGGGCGGCGGTGACATCACGCGGTCTGATTCTTTTATATCTTATTCGAGTTGTACAATAAAAGTTACCAAATGTAAGAAAAAAACTTTATTATTATTAAAATATCATTCTGTCCTTCAGTGACGGCTCTGCTTTGATTTGGTCCTGAAAAGGTCTCTCCATCCGAACCGGTGTTTCCAAAATCAGATCAGAAAAATGGTCCCCCGTATATTCTCTCACTGCAGACCTCTTCACAACCCTAACTGGATGACAAAGCCAAGCGCTCTGCATAATAACCCATCTCCTATTTTAAAAAAATATAAAATCATTGTTTTTTTACATTTTCATCCTTTGTTCCATCTCAGTGTTGCTGATCTCCCGCGGCCAGGGCCGGATTTACTCTCCTTGCCGCCCCAAGGCCAGGTTCCACAATACGACCCCCC